TTCAGACACTGTCAGTTCTTTCTCTGTGGATCGACAATATTTTTCATCATAAATCCTTCAGAGTTGTCCTGGATCATTGTATTACTAAGAATAGCCAAGTCGTTCACAGTTGATCATTGTACAATATTGCTGTTACTTTGTACACAGTACATTTCACTTTGCATCAGCCCGTGCGAGTCTTTCCAGGTTTTTCTGAGAGCATCCTGCTCATCATTTCTTATAGTACAATAGTATTCTATCCCAATCACATACTATAACTTGTTCAGCCATTCCCCAATTGATGGGCATCCCCTCAGTTTCTAATTTTTTGCCCCCAGAAATGAGCTGCTGTAAATATTTTTGTACATAAAGGTCCTTTTTGTTTTTTGTTTTTTTTTTCTCTTTTGGAATACTGACCTAGTAGTGGTGTGGCTAGATCAAAGGGTATGCATGGTTTTATAACCCTTTGCACATAGTTGAAATCATTTTTAAAAGATAGGTAAAAGCACATAGATTTGGTCACCTCTTAACCATATTTGTTCTGACCTTTACAGCTTAAGAATTAGTCTCCAAGTTAGAAAAGCTAGAAAAATATGGAAATGATAAACTGAGTCTAATGAAGGCTTTTGTCAAAAAACACATTTTACTTGTTTTAATTCTGAGTAAAAATGGATAATTGGTCAAATACATTTAAAATGACAGAATATACTTACTTGAAATATAAAAAATAACAGTTATCACCTGTGTACATTTGAAAAAAATAAGATATTGGGTAGAGCACTGACCCTGGAGTCAGGAGGACCTGAGTTCAAATCTAGCCTCAGACACTTATTAGCTGTGTGACCCTGAGCAAGTCACTTAATCTCAGGTGCCTCCAAAAGAAAAAAATAAGATCTTTAAAGAATGAATGGTTCTTGGTAAATATTGATTGTTCAAGATATTAGAGCCAATCTGCTATAAAGCCTTATTAGTTCTACTCCACTATATCCAATTTAGCTCCTCCTTCCACTTACACAGCCACCAAGCCTTCATCATCTCTCTCCTATGTTATTGAAATAGCCTCTTAATTGATTTTTCTGCCTCTTGTCTCTCCTTTTCCTGATCCTTCCTCCACACTTTTGCCATTGGATATTCATAAAGCACAGGTCTGATCAAGTCACTCCTTTGCTCAGTAAGCTTCTGTTTTCTCTGAAATCAAATGCAAATTCCTTTGTTTGGCATTTAAAGTCCTTGGGTCCAGCCTGGATCTAACATAAGTTTCTAGGATTATTGCACTTTATGCCCCCTTCACATACTCCATGGTCCATCCCAAGTCCATTCTCAATGCCTTTGCATTGACTGTCCCCTCATATCTAGAATACTCTTTCCTCACCTTTGCTGCCCCTTGGAATTCCTAGCTTCCTTTGAAGTTTGTCTCAAGCACCAACTCCTCTCCCCAAAATTATATAACTTTGTGTATGTTTTATGTACGCTTGCATGTACACATTATCTTTCCTTATAGACTGATAGGGTAGGGAGGATTTCATTTTTGTCATATCCTCAGTGCCTTGCACATAGTAAAGTGCTTAATAAATGCATGTTAATTGATTGGTTGTTTCTTATTACTTCAGAACAGCCCCAAAATCTTCTCTGCTGGCCTAGATATTACTGACATGTATGGAAAGAATGCAGCACACTATGCCGAGTTTTGGAAAGCGGTACAAGAGGTTTGGCTGAAGCTGTACACATCCAACATGGTGGTCATAGCAGCGATCAATGCAAGTTGCCTTTTTGTCTGACTTCAAAGGAAACTGGCTTGTAAATTGCTTTTTTTAAGCATCCAGGTAAAAACTAGGGCAACTAAGTGGTGCAGTGGATAGAGTGTGGGCATGGAATCAGGAAGACTCCTCTTCCTGACTTAAAATCTGGCCTAAGACACTTACTAGCTGTGTGACCCTGGGCAAGTCACTTAACCCTGTTTGCCTTAGTTTCCTCATCTGTAAAATGAGCTGGAGAAAGAAATGGCAAACCACTCCAAGAAAACCCAAAAATTGGGGTCCCAAAGAGGCAGACATGACTAGGACAACTGAATGACAGCAAAAATTATAGGTGGAAGAAGTTCAGGTTTGCCACTTGGACAAACATGGTGTTCTTGCTGTTCTGGCCATGCTCTTTAGTTAGAGCGCAGTCAGCCTGTGCATGGCTCTGTGGAGAGTTCAGGGATCACAGAATTTAGATCTGGAAGGAACCTTAGTGATTGCCTGGTGGCTCTCTCTCCTTCATTTTAAAGTTCAGAAAACTGAAGCCCAGAGACAGGCAGAGAATTGCCCAAACTCATTATAATAAGTTAATAGCAAAGCTCAGGTTTCAGCCTATGTCTTCTAACTTCAAATCTGAGAATCCTGCCACTGCATTTAAACCAGTTACAAATGTCTCTAAAACAGACTGACATTTTATAAATCCCTACAAATGCTTCCTTCCTAATGGAAAATCAGTTGACCCATAGAAACATTCCTAGCATTTTCCACACCCTCTTGTCTGTCATAAAACCTCGGGAGGCTAAGAAAGAACAAAACTACAGTCATGTCTTACTGGCTTTTTTCCTTTCTATTACAAGTGGCAACAGAGTCTTCTAGCACTGCATCTGCTGACCTGTGCGCTCCCTCTGAGTGTCTAGATGCTGCAGCTGAATGGGATAAAAAACTGCCTAAAATCAACATTTGGTTTTGCTTCTAGGGATCAAGCCCTGCTGGAGGCTGCCTGATGTCCTTAGCTTCTGACTACCGAATCATGGCTGACAATCCCAAGTACACCATTGGTCTGAATGAAACGCTGCTGGGCATTGTGGCACCCTTCTGGTAAGGCTGACCCCATGATAACCCTCCTCAGGCGGGCTCACTTCTTCTGCACTTCGGGGATATCATCTTGAAAAGGAAGCTTTTGCTGTCCTTTTTTGGGGGTCAGTCTGTCACTTCAGTGTCAGAACTAAGTGCTTGTATTTTTTAGAAGGCTGATAGTTTATGCCAGGGGTGGGGAACCTGCAGCCTCAAGGCCACACGTGGCCCTTAAGGGATTTGTTCTGTGAAGTTTGGATTCAGTCAAAGGGCCGCACTTGGGGAGTTAGAGGTCTATGTTCTAGGTCACCCCTGGTCTATGCTCATTCCTTCCATACAAGCATTAACTGAGGGGGTGTGTGTGTGTGTGTGTGTGTGTGTGTGTGTGTTGTAATTCTAGGTTTAAAGATAACCTTGTAAACACGATCGGGAACAGAGCTTCAGAGCATGCCCTTCAGCGGGGGTTGCTTTTCCCTCCCGCTGATGCCCTCAAAATAGGTTTGGTGGATCAGATAGTGCCAGAAGACAAGGTGCAGAGCACAGCTCTCAGTGTCATGTCTGAGTGGCTGAAGATTCCAGGTGAGAAGATGCCTCTCTGCTAGGACTAAATTAAAAGGGGGGATTAGTAATGAAGGAGGAGTGCCCTTTGGACTGTTTCTGTTGGTGACATTTGATTTTTTTTCTCTCCTTTTGTTAAAAACTACATGTCACAAAGGAGAAAACTTTGTTGTAAAGAGAAAAATATTGGATTATACTGCTGTATTTGAAGCTTTGAGTTTCCAAAGTGATGTACACATTTCACTCTACCAGTATATCTAATCTAACATTGTTGGTTTGTCCCAGAAAAACAAATTAAAGGAAACAACATTGTGAGGGAAGTTCCACAGAAACAGCTAATTGGAAATGGGGGGAGATCCAAACCACTGAACCAACGAAGGCAAGGAAGGAATCAGAGTGAGGTGCTGAGGTGTAAGGGATTTGGAAAGGGAGTCTAGACTTCCCAGAAAAGATCCAACTTGGAATATGGAGTGTGGCAGCAGAAGTCAAGATCATGCTTGCAGTAGGGAGGCCATCAGGTCACCCAGGAAAGTGGGCTTCCTTTCACCAGGGGAGCGGGAGTTAAGCTGGTCATCTGATAGTGTTGGGGAATGGGGTAGAACTTTATGATGTTATTTGGCTAGGTCTTAACATTATTACATAAAATTGATTAAAGCGTCATAGATAGGATGTACTTGTAGGAATGCATTTCTGTGAATCCAGGTTGTGATTGGTTTGACTCTTGGTGACCTAGAAATTAATAACCTGTTAACCCTGTCTTTAGACCATGCTCGACAGCTTACCAAAACCATGATGAGAAAACCTACTGCAGACCGGCTGTTGAAACAACGAGAAGCAGATATTCAGAATTTTGTCAGCTTTATATCCAAAGACTCCATCCAGAAGTCTCTTCATATGTATTTAAAGTTTCTTAAAGAACGAGAAAAGTAAATAAAGGTTTAGGCTCCTGACACAGGATGTGTAGCTGGGAACAATGAAGCAAAGCCATGTGCAGACCCTTCAGACCTTTCTTTGGGTAGCTGTAGGTTTTTAAAACAAAGTATTTTTCAAGATGAAATTAAATTTGATTATTTGTTCTTAGTTTGTTGATCTTTTCAGAAGATCCTGTCCCTTTTATCCTGATATCCCAAAGGTATCTTTCCTCTCTTCCCATCACTGCTTTGTGTCCCCTCCCCCTCACCCCACCCCATCCCACATACACCTAGAAGGTGCTTGGGTAGGTTATGAAGAGACTTGGCTAATGATGTGGAAAGGAAATCTTGTGTTCCTGAGCAGCACTTTATCTGGGAATCATGAGTAGTGGGCTTACTGGAACTTGGAAATATAACTCTTTTGCTCAGGGCCCGCCTTTGCTCAAAGTCGAGAATTGTGAATAAAAGTCCTAAGATTTTTTTGCTCGCCAGCCTTAGGGCTGCCTGGTTGCTAGTGGTGAGAGGCAGTTCCCCAGGTAACCAGTGAGCTGCAAGGAGCACCTCTCTACTCCCCCTTCATATACTCAGGGTAGAAATATGTTTTCCACTGATAGGACTTTTCAAATAAACAGCTTTTCAGGATTCTTGATTGTTCATTTCTCGTTGGAATGAGTGTTGCAGAGAATGGGAATGGGGAAGAGAAGAGGGGATGATGGTAGCTTCACAGTACTCATTTTTTGCAAGATTTATAAATGCTTCTGTTAACCCATTCTCAAAGAATGAGTTCCAAAGTCCATTTTCTCCTGGTACAGTCAGTTATGTATTCTTCATAGCTATTTCCACATCCTACTCATGTGGGTGCCAAAGGTTGACATTTCAGGAATAAAATCCAAACTTTCAGATAGGCATCTGTTAATTGTGTAGAAAATTCCTTCCTGACCCTAGATATTTTTAGTCTAAATCATCAAACATGAGGTGGTTGTTCTAATCCTTTGGGTAGCATAATGAGGTTCCTGAAGGGAGCATAATTTTGGAGGGGTGGAAAGGAAGAAACCAAACCTGTGTGAACACTTCCTCCACCAGCTATGCAGGAAAAGGGCCATTTTACCTCAGAGGGAAAATGACTTGCCCATGACCACACAGTCACTGTGTATCACTTGAGGACCCAAGTCTCCCAGACTCTTGGGGATGTAGTACCAGTTTATTTGTGAAGATCTTCAGAAAAGGTATGTTTTTAGAAAAATCTAACAAAATCGTAAATGGAAAAGGACTATAAGAATGCAAGGCACAACTATTTGGGCCTGAGCCCCTTAACTTCTGGACCTCAGTTTCTTTATCTGTCCGATAGAAAGAATGATCCCTCTACTACATAACTCACATGGCTTTTATGACAAGTGAAATCATGGATGTGAAAAGCAGCAAAGCACAAAATGTAAGATTTGTTATTTAAAAACTGACCCAGGAGTGACCGAGTGGTGAAGAGGGAGCATCTTGGGCCTCGCCTGGCTCAGTGGAAAGCCAAATTTTTAATATCTGTGAGTAGTATTTTGTGGATGGAACACCAGTTAAAGTGACATCTTCCTGTTTTTCAAATATACAAGTGGTCAGAAAGTTGTTTTCTCTAAAGTGGGCTTTTACTGAACACTGAGTATAAAGACTCTTACCAGGTAAACTGAAGAGGAGCCAGCTGCTGTCCTGGTTTACGAAATGCTGACCACAATATGTTAGCTAGTAGCCCTGACCTCAAAATGCAAAAAAGGGCAGGTCGCAGCAGCCTGCTCTCCAGTTCCTGCTGGAGAGTAAAATCAAGGATATGAAGAGCCATGGCAGAGTACGAGCCCAGGGAATATAGAACTGTGAAATTAATTCATTCTGTTAATGCATCCAAAATCAGAGTTGTTGACCTTGTAAGTTTTTGAAGTGGACTTTCCCATTCTAATTTAATTATCTTGTCCATGGTTCTCGCTAGTTGTCAAGATCCATAGAAAACCCCTGAAGGATTTTGTGTTTGAGGTTTAGATTGAATTCCACATCTGTTAACCTGAGTGAAAGTTCCCGGCAGAAAGCATTTGGTGGTGTCAGGGAAAGGGAAGGGGATTGGCCTGTCGTTGGAGCTGGGAATGCCTGCTTCCGGGCCATGGCTAGAACTGTTTCAGGACCCCAGGAGCCAGGGATTGAACCAGTTTAAAGTGTTAGGTCCTGGCAGTCTTCAGGCTTGGAAAAACGAAAACATCAGTCACCTGACTCCTCTAGAGTCCAGGAGAGCCGTCCCACCTTGGTGCTTGGTGTCCTGTGGGGCTGTTTGTTGCACGTGATGAGAGGCTGAAGAGTATCCGAGACAGTCCTCAGTGTCAGGGAGTTTTCAGTGTCACTTCTACAGGGAAGTGGTCACTAATGGCTAAAGCCTGGAAGGAGGGAAGAAGAGAGAGAGAATCCATTCTTTGATCTTCAGCCTTTTTTTTTTTTTAATCTTTTCAAACCTCATTTATACACTTGGATGGTTTTCCAGGCAGGGGTAGACAAGGTTGAGTGACTTGCCTCTAGTCCTTGCCAAAGCCCTCCATGAGATGAGTGTTCTCGTTACAACAGAGGGAATGTTCCCTATGGGAGACAGGAGTCACCCCACAGAGCAGGTGGTTTGATTTTTTTCCCCTAGTACTCTAAACAATTACTGATTAATGAAAATTACTTACATTGGTCCATCTGTCTATCTATCCCCCTGCCTGATCTTCCTTGTGGTGAACATTTGTGAAATGAATGCTGAAACAATGGTTTAGGTAAGGGCATAGATCTTAGTTTTGGCCAGGGTCAGGAGATTAGTCTGTGGCCAGGAAACAGAATTTCTCAGCATATAATGGCCCAACAGGCTTTTTGGATTCTGCCCTGAAAATAGTGCACTTACTTTCTAAATACTGTTCCACAGGGAAAGGGCAAAACTGCAGAGGAGGGCTTGGGGTTGGGAGGGAACTCGTGTGTGCCATCACCCCCCCCCCACCAAACTTTGCACATAAGTGGTTTGCAGTCAAGGGCAGGCAGTAGAAAAACTGCCTTCAGAGATCACGCTGTGGTGGAAGCAGGAAAATGGACTAGCTGACAAAGTCTTCACCAACTCCGTAAATACTAATGGAGTTTGGCCAGATACGAGATGGGAAGGGTTTGAGGAAAATTCTATTTGGATGGCCCAAGTCCTCAGATGCTTGACAACATTACCTCTGATTATATGAAAACATTTCTAGGGGCAGAGGATAGGACTCTCCTTTTAAAAGTGAGTAGCCGTAGTAAAACAGGCTTCTTTCCTGCACTTACTGCAGTCTGATCCAGGTCGAAGGACTTCTGAAAGTTGTTCACTGTAGCTGAATTGGGTGCGATGCATTTTCTCAGCCTCGAGCCACAGACCACAATCCTGTACACAGATGGGACAGTGATGACCCACCCCCTCCCCAAGAGCCCACCTCTCCCTTTGGTTCCCCAGAGAGCACTAAAGCAGGAGGGACCCTTCCCTAGGCACTGCCTGCCTGCCAGTCTCCTGCCTTCTCCCAGTGGACTGGCTCCTCTCACCTGTCATAAGCACAGTCAGAATTGCCCACAGTGGTGTCAGCATCATCAGGTATAAGCCATTTAAAAATCTCGCTAGTTCGAAGCCTGATATTGGCCCAGTCATGCTGCTTGACATAGTTACAGTCTGCATTGAAGTCACCTAGGAAAAGGATGTCCTGCAAAAAGAGATCGGCAGTAATAAAGAGGGTGTGTGGGTGGCCCTGGCACTAGTTCAGAGAAAACATTGCCTATTCCCGAGATAGAAACATTTCCCAGGACTCCTTACTTCCTCTTCATCTCCCTCATTGACCCATCTTTACAGGCTCTCTTATGAAGAAGTAGTAGGGAAGGAAGCTAAGTAGATGAGGGGGAGTGAAGTTAGGTAAGTAGGTGAGAATGGGGAAGGAGGTTGAGGGTGAGTGGAATGGGTGGATAGGCGAGGAGGTCGGTCTTACATCAGTCCCCCACTTGTCAATCACATGCAAATAGACATCGTACAGGGCATCAATCTCTGCCACAGCATTGTGTGGGGCCGAATGTAGGGGCACTAGGACAAATTCCTTCGAGGCTATAGGGGCAGTACAGAGAAGACAGGAATTAATCCAGAGTGGTGAAACAGGGTAGAGTGTGGTCAGCATGTGTCAGACTGGCCCCACCTGTGTTTGGAGATGAAAACTTGACAATGAAGGGTTCTCTGCTGAAAACATCTTCAGGGTCCGGGTAACAGTAACTATCCAACACAGAAAGTGTCTCTGTCCTGGGGGAGGTGAAGTAAAACCTCAGTGATCAGGGTAATTCTCCTCTTCTTCGTCATCCTCCTCCTCTCTCATTCCTCTAGTCTTTTTATACCTTACTTCCCTTGATCCACGTACTCTGAAATCCCATGACGTAGGCCTCCTGGCTGTTATTAGACTCCTGTTTTCAGACTCCTGACATCTTCCTTGGCTGACCCCCATGCCTGGAATACTCTCTGTCATCTCCACCTCTTGGCATTTCTGGCTTCCTTCGAGTCCCAGCTAAGATTCCATCTTCCATAGGAAGCCTTTCCTAATCCCCCTTAAGTGTTTGTGCCTTCACTCTGAGATTATCTTCAATTTTCCTATGTATCTAATTTCTACATGGTTTATCATGTTGTCTCCACTATTAGGCCCCCAGAGAGTAGCGAATGCCTTTTGCCTTTCTTGGTATCCCCAGTGCCTAGCAATGCTCATAGGCACTTTAAGTAAATGCCTATTGACTGGCTGACTGAGCATCCTGGCTGAAGCCCCTTTTCTGGTCCTGAAGTCCTTCTCTGAACTTGTCCTATTCCGTCCCCCCTCTCCCCACCTCGACCAGTCCTTTGGCTTTCTCCTGGGTCTGAGGCCCGGGTGTGGATGTGGAACCCTATCCTGCCCCATTCCACCCCTTAATGCCCTCGAACCTGTAGACAAACAGATACATCTCTTTGTAGTTGTCACGTCCCAGTGGCTCGCTGGTCACGTAGCTGTAAGTGTACTCGGATATACTAGGAATAGGCAAGAAGTGGGGGAGTCACACCTTTACACATACCCAGGTGGGAGGTAAAGACTCTCTCTGCAACGCGATTCAGAAGAGGAGGAAAGGGAGGTGCCGGACACTGCCCAAATTTGAAGTTCTGATCCTGTACCTTACACCCCCAAACGACCAAGACTGGGAGTGGTGAGAAATTGGTTCGGGGCAGAATTAACTCGTATAAAGGATGGGAGGAGTAGTAGTGGGAGGAGCAGGGCTTTAGACACCAAACACCAAAGACCTTTTCTTGTTCGACCCGAAGCCCCAGCCCCTACCTCCGCCCCCGTGGCACCAAGCACCATTCCAAACCCAATGACTCATCCCACCCAGAAATAGGGCTGGAGGTAAGGGTTAGAGGGGCATAAAGGCCCTGGCTTGCCTCCCGCCCTCCGCGGCGGCCCAGAGGAGTCTGAGAGACAGAAGTGGGGAACGTAGCATCAATGCTGTTGTTTTGGAACTACGCTCTGCGGGGGATCCCCGACTCTCTCAGGACCGTGGAGAGCTCGAGTCTCTAGGCTGTAGGAAGACTCTCTCTCTCTCTCTCTCTCTCTCTCTCTCTCTCTCTCTCTCTCTCTCTCTCTCTCTCTCTCTCTCTCTCTCTCTCTCCCCCTTCCCCTCTCCCCCCACTTTGGGTGTGTCCCTGCGTGTCCGTGTCCCCGTGTCCCTGGGAGGCACCTGTTGATCTCCTCCATGAGAGCGGACACGGCGCTCAGGTCCGGGTCTCTGACCTCTTGAACCAGGGTCACGTCATACTCCGCCAGGATCTTCGAGGAGGGGACAAGGGAGTCACCCGGGGGGGACAGCACAGGGTTCCGGCCCTCAGCCCCCTTCCCAGAGACCCCCCCCAGGCCTCCGAATCCAGCCCCACCCGCCCCCGTCCGGGCACCTGGGCGATGAAGCTGCAGCAGGCGGGATCGGCCACTTTGTTATCCCCGAAACTGCGGATGTTGAAGGCGCCCACGCGGAACGGGGCTGCGCTGGAGGCGGCGGCCGCGGGGACCTGGGCTAGGGGCCAGAGCAGGAACAGCAGCGCGGCCAGCGGCGCCCCGGGCAGGAGCATGGTTTGCTCACGAAGCCGGCTGCGGAGTGGTGACGACGCGCGTGAACGCGCTTATCCACTCCCGCCGACACATTTTCACACCTATTACCGTTTTTACTCCCGCATCTCTACATGTGTACAGACGTTTACCCTAGCACTCAAGTGTGTAGGTGTCTCTGTCCCGGTCCCCTTCCCCCACCCCCATTTCCCAGCCTCAGAGCGAGGAGCCGGACGGAAGGGGGAAACCTATGGCTTTCTACCCCGCCTCGTCCTGACCTCTGACCCCCATCCCTGGCCCGTGGATCTCAAGTGGGATGGAGACAGGACTCACGTGAGTCGGGAACCGGAGCCGCTCTGCATAGGAGATTGAGATTATGCGTCCAGTAGAACGCCGAAGCTCCTGGTTCTGGTTCCTGTCCGCACTGGGCTTCACAAGCTTAGTCAGTCCAAGTTCCTAGAGTCTGAGGTTAGTTCAGGTACTTAGGTCAGACTGGGATCTGGGGCGAGTCTGTGATCAGTTCGGGGCCGGGAGCCGCCCAGGTGCAGCGTCAGAATCCGACAAGGAGACTTCAGTCCTGTGCAGACTGTATTTGAGCATCTACTCCCGGGGATGTCCCTTTCTCGGCCGGCACAAGGAGCGGCCCCGCCCCCTCTGACAGGGACGGACTCTGCAACGCGATTCCACAAGAGGAGGAAAGGGAGGTGCTGGACACTGCCCAAATTTGAAGTTCTGATCCTGTACCTTACACCCCCAAACGACCAAGACTGGGAGTGGTGAGAAATTGGTTCGGGGCTGAATTAACTCGTATAACGGATGGGAGGAGTAGTAGTGGGAGGAGCAGGGCTTTAGACACCAAACACCTTGGCCCCTTAGACGTGGTCCCCTACTCCCTCCCTGTCAGACTTGTATGTGATAGCTCTCTTCCCCTCCTTCCCCTTCAGTCCCAGCCTTTGGTGGTTGGAGTCTGTAGAAGGAGGGCCAGGGCACACCCAAGCACATTAAGTCACCAGTGCCCTGAGTTAGGAATGCCGATGGTGATGTAAGCACATGGATGGAGCCTGAAGAGTAGGATGGACAGGTGAGGGTGTGGCCCTGCCTCAGACTCTGGCATTGCTCCCCTCCATATCACATAAATAGACACATAAACTGACAGCCAGTCACACACCCACACCCGAAAACATCACTGTCCACTGCCCACATCTCCACCTACTTCCAACCAGACACACCACCATGCTTGGGAGTTCACAGCCCTGAAAAAGCAGCAGCATTCTGAGCACTTCCGGGGAGCTAGGTAGCATGGGGAGGCCTGTGGTAGGACAGCCAGAAGCTGGAATCTCAGAGGACACAGTCTTGAAGGCCTTAATAGTTTTAATATTTTATTGTAAACAAAGGAAAAAATCATTTTATTTGCAGGCCCAAATCTGCCATTTGGAATTCTGTTTTTGTCTTAAATCGCTCTGTGGTCTGAAATGTACAATATGGCTTTCGTGCCTCCCTGGCTTACTCAGGAAGGGTCCTGGCAGTGCTAGGGGACAGCAGACAGGCTCTAACTCCCCAGGGTGCCCAGCTGGGAAGCTCCAGACCCCATCACCAGCCCATCTTCTAGCACTCCAGATACCTTGGCCCCCAAAGGCCATCTCTGTCCATCCTCTGCATGATTCAAGGCAGCCTTTTCATAATCTTCACTTCTGTCAGAACTTTCTTTCTGGGCTCAGAGCTTTCCTGCCTCCATCCTTGGCTTCCAGACCATGCAGTGACACCATGAACACACATTTGCTCCTGACTGGTGGGCCAACCCCAAGCCCAGTCCTTCCAGGCCAGGCGAGTCCTTACACAATGACTGTCTGTACCTCCAGTTCACCCTCTTGTGAGGAGATCACGAACTCTCCGGCGTGCTCCAGGATCTCGATGTCCTCAGAGGCCACCATAGTGACCGTGGTCTGGTCAGCCTCGATTCCTGCCCGAGTAGTCAACACAGCACCCTCTCCTATGGCTGAGGCCAGGGTCATGGCCACTTGCTCCGTGAGGCTCTCAGGGGTGGCGATGGTGATGGTATCAGAAGCGGCTGCCGCACTGGCTGCCATTCCCTCATCTTCATCCACTGTGACATTCTGGACGATGATTTGGTGACCAGAGCCTGCCTGGTGCACAATCTGCTGCACTACCTTCATGATGTGGCTGTCCACCTGGGGGAGGTGGGAGAGGAGGCTCAGCTCCAGGGCAGGACAAGGGGGGAGGGGAGGCCTCAGCTCTCCACATCCTGAGTAGAGGGAAGAGGCCTAAGTTCCCTCTCTCCCATTTCAGGGCACATTCTGATCCCTCAGGATCTGGCCAGACTTCATTCTTTGTCCCTGGGTTCTAGGGTGGCCTTAGAAATCCCATACCCCTATACCAGGCTTTACACCCTTGACCTGACCCAAAGTCCCCACTACTACCTACCCTCCACCCCTACCCCACCTCAGCCTGTGTGCCCTCAATGATTTCCGTGGCTTCACTGGTCTCAGTGTCTTCTGTGGTAGCCTTGAAAAGGGAAAAAAAACAAAACAAAAAGGGGAGCTCGGACAGTTTACCCAGGAATATCCTCCCTTCTTCCGCCCCTCCCCTCTAAATCTTACCAACCCCACCCCAACACTGTGTGCCACTCCAAGTTCTGAGACTTATGCGCTCACAACCTCGTCCACACCTCAATGATGTACTCCTGAGTATCAGCCACCACGGAGGAGAACTCCACCAGCACCGTGTGAGCATCCTCAGACAGCGTCGGGGTTGATGGGCTAGTCCTGGACACCACCACTTCTTCCACCTCCAGCAGACAGCCTCCTGCACAGACACTTACCTGGTGAGGGCCTGGGCTGGTCCATGGGGAACCAGCCCCCTTCCCCACCCCACCCACTGTGACACCGCCCAGCTCAAACTCAAGTTTCAGCTACACTGGCATCCGAGTTGATGCGGTCCCACTCCACCAAAGGGAGCCAGCCCCACATGTCAGCCTCTCAGAGTATGCCAGAGAAAATACAAGCCACACAAGCCCACCCAGCCAAGAGAAGTCAGGTCCCAAGCTCCATGTTCCAAGGCACCGGGTTCACAAGGCTAACCTTTGGTCCGAAGATGCCGGTTGAGCGTCCCATGCTCAGCAAAGCCCCGGCCACATTTGTAGCACTTGAAAGGCTTCTCCCCAGTGTGATGCCGGACATGCCGCACCAGGGAGCCCTTCTCCCGGAAGCCCCGGCTGCAGAATTGGCACACGTGGGGCTTCTCCTCCAGGTGAATCCGGAAGTGCACCTGCTGGGCATTCTGTCAGACAAAGCAGGGTCTGCATGAGGCCCCGCCACCCAGGGCCGTCAGCACAGCTTCTCTCTCTCTCTCTCCCCCTTCAGAACTCCACTCTTGTACCTGCCACACCGGGTCAAAAACCTCCCACCGGGGAGCTTGGGGTAGGCAGGGGGCTACTTGTAGGCAGCGCAAGGTCAGAGAGTTGGCCTGGCCAATCCACATGCAGAGTAGGAGCCTGTTTGGGGAGGCGGAACCCCAAAGCCCCAGTAAGTGACAAGACAGGACAAGAAGAAAGGGTCAGCAGCAGCTCTCTCCCATTCTTGGCTTCCAAGGGTGCACCCCTTCCTGCCTAGACCTTGGTTTCCTTTCTGATGGAGGGAGAAACAGCCCACCTTGGTCTTATAGCGTTTCCCACACTTGGGGCAAGCATATGGACGCTCATCTGAGTGGACGCGGCGGTGCCCCTTCACATGGGCAATAGTCTTGTAGAGCTTCCCACACTCGCCACAGCGGAAGCGCCGCTCTCTGACATGCACCTCCTGGTGCTTCTTCAACAGGTAGGCCTTGGGAAACTCCTTCCCACACTGCTCACACCTGAACAGCTGTTGTCCTGCAGATGAAGGGAGACCAGCCCCCCAGGGCACACACTGAATTCATCCCCAAGCACTCCCTATCCCCACATACACAAACAAACACCAAGTGCAGCACCTGACCACAGCTACAGAGACACAGAGACGTAGAACCATGCGATGAGGTCCGACACACACATCACAGCCACCTTTGTGGAGGGCTGGGACCAAAAATCAATCCCTCTCCTATATGCCTGGTAGGGGAGTCTCCCCTACAGCTTCACCTCCTTCCTCCTCCTGCTGCCTCATTACCTCCCTTTCTCAAGCCCTTCTCAGCTATGAGGGACAGCCAGGGACAAAAATGGACAAGAGAACCTGAGCCCAGACCTACCGACATGGGCTTTGGCATGCACCTCCAGGGCTGAGGCCGACCTGAAGACCTCTACACACTGAGGGCAGGAGTACTGTGGATATCCACTCTGGGGCGCTGGGTCAGCCTGTAAGGACAGACAATTCTCTCCTCAGACTATGCTCCCCCACAATACAGATATAAACACAGTGTGACTTTGCCTCAACATACACATACACATGCAGAACATGACTAATTCAGCCTATTCTCCACTCTGCTGTCTTTCCTAAAGCCTAATCTGACCCCAGCTTGACCCTGCTCACCTCCCTATTCAATAAACTCCAATGGTTCCTTATCACTTTCAGGATCAAATACAAAATTCCGCTTGGCAGTCAAAGCGCCTTTCAACCTGGCCCCCTCCTACCTTTCCAGTCTTCTTATACCTGACTCCTTCCCATAAGTACTCTGTGATCCAGTAATGCTGGCCTCCTGGCTCTATCTCCTGACCTCAGACATTTTGGCTGGCTGTCTCCCCAGCCAGGGATCCTCTCCCTCCTCAACTCCGCCTCTTGCAAGCCCCTGCTAAAATCTCACCCTGTGCAGAAGCCTTCCCCAGTCCCTCTGAGATTATCTCCAATTCATCCTATATACGCTTTGTTTGTACAGCTCTTTTTCATGCTGTCTCCCCCATTTGTCTTTCTCTGTATCCCTAGCACTTAGCACAGTTCCTGGAACATAACACTTAATTAAAGCTTGCTGACTGACTGGAGCGTATTCTGCCTGGACTTCGTGAGCACACACCGTGCCATGCTTGTGGAGATCATTCCATCAGGATAAAGTATAAATGGGATCCTTTAACCCTGAGGCACAGGAAACTCATCAATGAGGCCCATGTCTGCACAGTGATGGAGTGAAGGTCATGAGGCCTTCTGCTTTTGAGTACTGCCTTTGAGCAGTACTGCTTATAGGGCTTCCCCAAGATCCCCTTCAGGAGGCAGAGGCCTCCAGTCCCCAAAGCTAATCCCTGAGCTGGAGAGAAGCACGTGGTGTAGGCACCTACTGTTTGCACTTCTTCCACAGCTACAAAGTGCTGCTCTCCTGTCCTCACCCCCTCAGGCCCTGGCTCCTGGGCAGTGCCAACACAAGGCTCAGCTGGCATGGGCCCCTCTTCTACTGCAACTCTCTCGATCACGAGACCTGAGTTCTGCATGGCTTGTCTCAGCAAATTCTCACTGCTCACCTCCCCTTCAGATGGCACCTTTTCAGGGACTGATGTCTACAGAGAACAGGGGATATCAGGAAATGCTGTTCAGTACCTAATGGAGAACTCTGCAAAGAAGAGTCATTTAAAAAAATGTTTCCTGACATTCTGGCTACTCTGTTAGAGGGATCAGGTGAGTTTTGGTCTAGAACAGCCCACAGAGGTATATTTTACCAAAGAGAGTCTTGGGGGGCCAGGAGGAGAGAAGCTGACCCCTCATGGAGGCCAAGCCTCACTCTGGCCCTCAACAGGATACACGGCATCTTCCACCAGCTCCGAAAAACATCCACTGTGGCCAACAAGGTGCTCAGTCCTATTCACTTCGACAAAGAGGCCCATCTTCTCCTCTCTTCCCCTCACATGGTAGCCCTGAGATTTTCAAGGGCTGCCTACCCAACACAAGCATAAAAAATATGGAACTCGCCTCCCAAGAGTTGGGTTTACAAAGTCTGGGCTAAAACAAAAAAGGCTGGAACTTTTCTTGGTACTGTAATTCTTTGTAACCCTGCAATCCGTTAGGAGAGCCAAGAACGGAACGGAAGAGAACAGACCAGCTGGCTGTTCCCCACCAGAACTCAATGGGTAGTAAATGTGTCCAATTCACAAAGACCTTGCATTCAACCTAACCAAAACACAGAGAAACACAAGTGGGATTTTCTTAGTCAGTTACACACAAAGAGCTAGTGCCAGGGGACATCTCCAAAATAGGATTGTTCATTTTCCTCCTGGTGAACTGGCAGAAGACACAGTCCTCACTCCTTCAGTGAAGGAAAATCTAATGCTCTTCATTCAGACAGAAAGCTAGTGCAACCTAA